CGGTGGTGTTGATGCCCAATATCCTCCTCCAGCTCTCTGACGCGGCATTAAAATGACCACAGCGTCTCTATGAATGGTAGCTTAAGGGGGGCAGACTAATCAACTGGGGGCTATTCGCCATAGAAATTACAGCAACCAAGCTTACAGAGTCGCTATTCGGTAGTATCCTCACAAAGCCTGGCCATGCATCGCTTCACGCAGAGCAGTTATTCCAGAAGGAGGGCACGTGAACACTTGGGCTTCTAGTCACCATTTCCTACTCTTCTGCTTTACGAAAGATCTTGGATCGGGCTGTCAAAATTCAAAATGCCTACCCAACGATCAGGCTTTTATCTGAGGATCGCCCTCTAGAGGCACGAAAACTGGGCCACCGCTGTTCTAGGGGAGAGACGCGAAACAGGCTCACGCTTGACGCTATTTCAGGCGACTCTAAACCTATGGCCACACTGGTTGTAGTCATGGCCCCTTGTGTTCCCCAAAGCGTGCCGGCGCAACAGAATGCCTACCCAACGATCAGGCTTTTATCAGAGGATCGCCCTCTAGAGGCACGAAAACTGGGCCACCGCTGTTCTAGGGGAGAGACGCGAAACAGGGCTCATGCTGACGCTATTTCAGGCGACTCTGAACCTATGGCCACACTGGTTGTAGTCATGGCCCCTTGTGTTCCCCAAAGCGTGCCGGCGCAACAGACCGCGTCTCTGAAGAGCAGTTTCTACTCAACCAACGCAGACCCCTCTACTACCAAAGGTAGAAATGATTTGGAGAAGGCATGCCCCACGCGGAAGCAGCACTCAAAGTAGGTAGAGCTATCAGTGCTTCTTTCAGTAAAAGACGACAAACGTGTAGCGGCGCACTCCTCACCAAAGTCACAGCTTTTGAACTGGACTGAGTCAGATGTGCAGGGACAAGCAGCGAAGCCCGCCGACAAACCAACTAAATGAGTTTACCTGGACATTGAACCATGCTGCGGCAACCGTACTGAGCATGAGAATGTGAAACTGTCCATCTCCAGCCTCTTTGATTGTGGACACAAGCAACGCCGAGGATTCAGACAGCCAAAGCCACAAAGGTGACCACAGCGAACCGGAAAGTCCCTCGTAAATCTGGTTGGTAACGCTGATCGCCGGTGGATAGGGTGCCCACACAAACACGAAAGAAAGGCGACCGCGGTCGAAAAGGTCAACATGAGGTTTACTAAATAAGAAAACTGCTTGCTGGCTCCAAAGTGCGGTCCTCTGTGAAAATGAGCCTGATGGATGCACCACCAAATTAATTATTTCTTAGTGCCACCACCCAGCGCCCAGGGCCACGTATAGAGACCTTTCTGATCATACCGCGTCAAAACGCCCAAGAAGCAAAACGGACAAAGTTTTGCCCCCACTCTTTGATCATCAGCAAGTCTGGTCGTCCAGAAGGCGGTACTGAAAGAGTTAAAATACCGAAGTTAAGATTTTTTCCAACGGGAAAAACTTCGTCGCCCAACGGTGAGGGGCCCACGCGAACCAGGATCCAGGCGGACGAAAAACCCTGCAAATAAAAAAGCATTCCTCAAAACCACCAAAACAGGAGACAGACGTTTATGCCCCAGGGGTCCCATTTGGGCTTTGGACTAAAACCCGACGAACAACTAATAGGAAAAACTTCGTCGCCCAACGGTGAGGGGCCCACGCCAACCAGGATCCAGGCGGACGAAAAACCCTACAAATAAAAAACCATTCTCCTCAAAACCCCAAAACAGGAGACAGACGTTTATGCCCCAGGGGTCCCATTTGGGCTTTGGACTAAAACCCTACGAACAACTAATAAATGTGCTAACCGCTCCGGTCACACAGCTCTCGGGTCCTAACCCTCGGAGGCAGTAAAGACAGTGTTGAAATGCTTTTCCACGAACTGCCCCAACCTTGGCAACAAACCTAGCGATATTAAACAAAAAGTTTGCTTTGAACAGCCGTCCATAATCGCACACACTGAGACATGGCCTACACCAGATGTCTCTGACGCGGAGATCTCAGTGGTCGGCTACTCTGTTTTTCGAGCCGACGCAAAACGGGAGACAGCTGGTTGGATTGCTGTGTACTTAACTGTGGTCCTGTCCATCCTGATTTTACCTCCTACACCATATCTGCACTTTTTTCTAATGCACTTTGGATCCTAATCCCGCTGCGCATGTGCGATTCTCCCCTTCTCGTTGTGGTCTACAGTAACCCCTCGAGTCCCCCTGAAGATGACCAGATCCCCATACGAACTCTTGCTCAACTCTCCTCTAAGTACCACTCCACTCATCTTCTGCTGGTTGGTGACTTAGACTCCCCTAAAGCCTCGTGGATCTTGCTCTAGCGCGTCAAATCAAATAGGCTTTTTGCAGTAGCGCTGGGTGAAGACCTTCAAAAGAGTGCTTGGACTCCACATGTAGTGTCACCCACCAGATAGCACGCAGGCAACTCTCATGCCCCCTGGATTTGGTCTTCACTAAAGGAAGACACTTCGATGATGAGGTGATAATTAACGGTCATTTGGGACAAAGCGACCACTGTGTGTTGACCTTTGGTTTCATCTGCTACTGAGCCAGAAATCCCGAACCTCAAACTTGGACTCAAAACTTCTGCCGTGCAGGCTTTTCAGGGATGCCCTTCTTTGTTGACCAATTTGAACGGGAACCAGCTTCAGTGGAGCATTTTCAAGAAAGTTCCCGAAGCTGCCGCGATGTTCCTCCCGAAGAAACACGCAGTCAGATGAGCCACAGGCCACCTGAAACTATCCGGCGTCTTCTGGAAAAGTAGTCTCAACCATTTTTTACAAAAGTTTGCTACAGGAGATGTAGAGGATGAAACGGCATTTCGCAAAATGCAAAAGCGCTGTAAATCAGAAATCCGTAAACGGAACATGCTCAAACAAATCACCATCCTGCACATCGCCTGGAAAAACAGAAACGTGACCCTCATATACATGAGATACCACCGCGGAAAAAAACCACCCGCGTTTTTCCTGAAGAACGGGAACGGTGAACTCACGAATGACCCAGTACTACTATCTGAGTTACCACAGAACACTATGCAGGCATATATTCAGTATAGGATAAAAACATTCTGCGCGTTGATGCCGGACGAAGTCCATCCAAGGATCCTGAAGGAAACGTCGTCTACACTGGCAAATCATTTATGTCTGTTTTTGTCATTCACTTGACGAAGGCCGTCTTCCCCTTACTTGGGAGGAAGCGATTGTCACGCCAATCTGAAAAGCTGATGACCGACTATTGCCTAGCAGCCACAGGCCTAAAAGGCTTACTAGCGTGCAATTCAAGGTGATGGAGCGCATACCGAAGCAAGCCACCCTAAGTCATCTTATTTCTAACAGCTCCATCTCTCCAGCTCAACGCGGATATTTCCCAAACCGTTCTTGCGTGACGAAACACACTCGTGTTTATGGACAGCTTAAACCAAGTCAAGGGCGATGAACCCATATTGGATGCCATAATTTTGACTTCCCCACTGCATTCGGTCGGGTCCCCCGGGCCCGGCTGTTCCACAAAACCGAGTCCTATGGGAATCAAGGGAATATCCCACGATGAATCAGATAGATCGCTCAAAAAGAAAATGCACTTGACCTACTGTTCACCAGCGCTGGTCCCCATTGGCGTTTCTCATGACTCCGTCCTGAGGCCACTGCTGTTTCTAATATACGTCAACATCCGTGCCTACTTTTTGCGGACAACTTGAAATGCTGAATTTCCAATGTCAGTGCCCTCCAAATGGATACAGACGTTGCAAAGCAGTGGTCGTTGGACTGGCGCCTTCCTGTGAATGACGAATGTGCGCCCACACGCTGTTTGGAGGAAACTCGGGAAATGTCTCTGTCATGCATCGTGAAAAAAGACCAGAAGACATCATGAGGATAGACGCCAAAATTTATAAAGCTATTTAGATCTCCTCAAACATGTCCTTCTCTCGGCCAAAAAGGCATTCTCCGCTTTATGGATGATTCTGTTTACCTTCTTCCGTGCCGCTCGCAGGGATTTCCACACACCGCTGCTTCACTACGCCAACCGAGTTGTCCATGCATGACGCACGAAAGACATCACCCTCGTTGGGCGTGTCCAGCGAGCCGCTACGAAAATGGTTGCCGGCCTCCAATCCGTGGACTACGAAACGCGTCTCACGGTGCTTGACCTCTTTGCCCTGAAGTATCGTTCCCTCCGAAGGGGCATACTTCACACTTATCCTTGTTTGAGTAAAGCTTGGTCAACATTTTTCACCTTTAACCAACCAAACCCAGCGGGGACATTGTAAGAAGATTTTCCTGCTCAGAGCACACACATTCAAAAAGCAAATTTTTCTCATTTCGGGTAGTAGCCGCGTGGAATGACTTTCCTCCGATGTTTGTCCACGCTCCTTCTAGAACCCAGTTCAAAGCACTATTAGCCACTTATTTATGCGCGTCCCCGGACCGACGAGCATATTGCCGGCACTGAGAAATTAAGAACAGTGCGACACCCTCTTTTCATCTGTGCCTTTCAGGTAAACCGGAACCACTGAATGACAAGGACAAAACTGACTCGGCAAACTCGGGCAAAAACCTTGATTCTGTGTATCAACCCCGGACTACCTGAATCCGGGATTCAGTATGCCAATGAACATTTAATCCCATTTTTCACTAAACATCGGAAACAATGGGGCAGTTTTCCCCGTACGTACAGCTACTCACCACGAATGTGAATAGGGATTCGAAAAAACGTTTCGATCTGTGGGCCCCACGACTTCCTACTAGGGTATATGAATGCTGAACCCATCGAACCCCTAGGCTCTTGCTGGAGGTTGGCCTAATTTTGAACTTCGATCTATTGCTTACGAACGAAGAGCGCGCCATCCAAATTATTTCCCTACCCAATGGCTGCTATCGTGAGTTATGACTAAGCATTTTTTCTTTTCAAGGTTTGTCATGTTTATTGTAGCTTTCGATCACCTTCGCATATTTTTCAATAAATTGTCCGCTTTCCTCGTCAGGATGTGGAAACTCTGCCTACACGCTCGCCAAAGTATAAAGCTGGTGACCCGTCCCGGAAATACAAGAGGGAGCTCGAGAAAGAAGTTGCGGAGTTACCCGCGGCAACTACAGATGGGATAAAAAATTACTATATGAATAAGATTGATGAACACCAGTTCATTGTTACTGAAAAACTCCAAAACTTACGGCGACTCGAAGCTCAAAGAAATGAGTTGAATGCGAAAGGTTTGTTTCCCTTGTAGTCTAATGTCCTCAGTCCGAATGCTTAGAGAAGAACTTCAGCTTCTGCAGGAGCTTGGTTCATATGTTGGGGAGGTTGTTAAAGCAATGGACAAAAAGAAAGTGTTGGTCAAAGTTCAGCCCGAGGGAAAATTCGTCGTGGATATCGACAAAAACATTGATATCTCTCAGATTTCGCCCAATTGTCGTGTTGCTTTAAGAAACGAAAGCTATACATTGCACAAGATCCTTCCCAGCAAAATCGATCCCTTGGTTTCACTTATGATGGTTGAAAAAGTCCCTGACTCCACCTACGAAATGATTGGTGGGCTAGATAAGCAAATCAAGGAGATCAAGGAAGTTATTGAGCTCCCGGTGAAACATCCAGAACTGTTCGAAGCCCTAGGCATTGCTCAGCCCAAGGGGGTGTTACTTTATGGACCCCCAGGTACCGGCAAGACTCTACTTGCTAGGGCCGTTGCACATCACACTGAATGCACGTTCATCAGAGTCAGGTGAGTCGTAGGTATTTGTTTGATCTCCTTAGTGGGTCCGAACTGGTCCAGAAATTCATTGGAGAGGGAGCCCGAATGGTTCGTGAATTATTTGTTATGGCCCGCGAGCATGCACCCTCAATAATATTCATGGATGAAGTTGACTCAATTGGGTCTACGCGTGTGGAGAGCAGCTCTGGAGGGGACAGTGAGGTCCAGCGTACAATGTTAGAGCTATTAAACCAGCTAGACGGCTTCGAACCAAAACAAAATATCAAGGTAAGAGCTGACTCGCGACAATTCATTCTGTAGGTTATTATGGCGACCAATCGAATAGACATTCTGGATTCTGCTCTACTGCGACCCGGACGAATTGATCGCAAGATAGAGTTTCCTGCTCCGAATGAAGAAGCTCGTCTAGATATTTTAAAAATCCACTCCCGAAAAATGAATCTTACTCGTGATATTGACTTGCGAAAACTTGCCGAGTCAATGCCCGGTGCAAGTGGAGCAGAGGTCAAAGGCGTTTGTACAGAAGCTGGAATGTACGCTCTTCGAGAACGGCGAGTGCATGTCACACAGGAGGATTTTGAGCTAGCTGTGGCTAAAGTGAGTTTATTCCGTCCTACAAACCAGTCGAGTCTCATAGCTTTTCTTTACTCATCTTATGTTATACTTAGAGTGCTTATTCACGTCCTTCCTTCCTACATAACCCCGTGCGAAGACTAATCAGACGTCAAGTGAAAGTTAGCTTGCGATCCGACCGTGAAGGATGGTGGACACAGAAAGCCAAAGAAATGGAAGAGGTCCAGAAAGCTGTCCGGATATTATTTCAGTTGATCGGTGCGACCGGTCCCCGGAAACCACCAAACATCAGAATGGAACGACCATCTCGAATAAGGAAGAACGCCTCGACCGGTGGGCTGAATGCTTCGAACAACAACTGTCGTGGCCACCAGATGGCACTCATCTACAGCCCACAGGTCAAGTAGAACCCTGAACGGTGAGCGTAGAATCACCTACGGCCTCGGAGGTTCACAGCTGCATATGTTCTCTCAGGCGCCACCGAACGCCACCAGATCTCATCTACAGCCCACAGGTCAAGTAGAACCCTGAACGGTGAGCGTAGAATCACCTACGGCCTCGGAGGTTCACAGCTGCCTGCATTCTCTCAGGCGCCACCGAACACTTGGTCTGGATGACCTTCCACCCGCACTGTTCAAAGACGGGGATGAAGTCCTCAGTCAGCGCTTGTCCGATCTGTTTGCTTGCGTTTGCGAAAGGGAGTCTGTCCCAGACAACTGGGGAGAATCGGTGATAGTGCCCGTTTTCTAAAAAGGGGTGCGTAGTGAGTGTGGTAACCACAGGGGGATCAGCTTGACCCCGGTTGTAACGAGACTGTTGGCGTCAATTGTGTTTCGTCGCCTTACGGTGGCTCGAGAGCAGCAAGCGGGATTCCGGCCTGGTAGGGGTTGTGTTGACCAAATCTTCACACTGCGTCAGGTGCTAGAACAACGCCATACGTATAAG